CGCAGCTCCTAACAGCAATGGGGAGAAAAACACCCCCCATGTTGGGACAAGGTGCTGGGCTGGCTCTCTGGCCAGCTCCCCCATTAGCCATCCGTGTCCCCATGTGTCTGGGTAAGTGGAAACAAGCCCAGTAGGGCAGTCCAGCCACCGCATGTCATGGCTGGGGAAGCCCAGGTGTATTCCTGCAGGCCAAAGCACTCACAGGTGGCAACGTCAGGAAAAGAAAGGTCCCTCTGCAGAGCACAAAGCCCAGACAAGACCCCACTGCTCCAGCAGGCACTGCCCCTCCAGCCCTGCCGCTCACCTCTTGCGCAGGATGATCCGGAACTCGGGGTTGTGCAGGCTGGTGACTGACACGTACGGCAGCTCAAACTCCTGCAGCTTCCGCACAACTGCGAGGAAACGGCAACTCAGCAGCAGCTCAGGTCAGCAGGAGCCCATCGGACCCCTGCCAGCCAAGGCACCCCAGGGGAGCCCACTGGATCCCCACAGCCAGGGCAGGGCCGTGGGGTCCAAATAAACAGCTCTTGTGCCAGGGCAGGGTACAGGGCAGCTGCCCCACCACAGCCCTCATGGGGCTCCAGCATGCCCTACTCACAGGAGAAAGCTCCATCCTTGGTCTCTCTCACTAGGAAGAGGCTGAAGTAGCCAACCAGGTCATCTGGCAGATCCAGCTTGGAGGCCACAGCCTGGGAGTGAGAGCAGGAAGTCACCACTTCCTGCAGAGAGGCAGCCCTTCTACATCCTTACCCCGTGGCAGGATTAAGCCTCTGTGTATTCTGGGGCCTCCCAACAGCAGGAAAGCAGTACCTCTGCTGTGCTGGGGGCCAGGCCAGGGGGGATAATGGACAGGGAGTGAGGGAATTACATCCACCATGAGACAGCTGGGGCTTCCTGACATTAGTTTTGGCCCACACATCAGCACACCCTTTCCAGCTCTTCAGCCCCACGACAATGCTGCTCTGGGGAAGGGACTCAGCAGGGAGGGCCAGGGGCTGACAGGCTAAGGAAGCTCATGCATGTATGAGAAGCCACAGAACTCCGCAGGAGGAGCTGGTCTTGCCCAGCACAAGAACTTTGGCACCTCAAGGACATCCTCTGTCTGGTCCGAAGTAAGGATGGTGACCTTGACCTTCTGGCCATTGGAAAGTAGCACTTCCAGCACCACCTCCTCTGTAGGTATCTGCTGCGTCTCCTGGAGAGAGAAACAGGATTGCCACTGTGGCCCCCCCACTGCTGACCATCCTCACAGCCCGAGGGCCCCAGCTCGCACTGCCCGGCCCCAGCGGTTGGCACTCACCCCCATGCAGGCTGCCCCAGCAGCCCACCACCTCCAGCAGCTCCACCCTCACCTGCTGGGCTTTGCGCAGGAAGCTGTTGAAGATCTCGCTCCCTCCAAGTGTCGGGTCCTGCCGCACTGGGATGGAAGATGAGCAGGGAGTCAGTTGTTATGGAGGAAGGGGCAGAGACCCACAGCAATGCCCGTCTGCTCTGGAGCCTCGCAGAGTTTGCACTCAGACTAAGCACGTGCTGTGTTTAGGGCATGCACATGGGTGGCCATGGACACCCTGCAGGTGAAGGCACCAGGGGTCTCCACCTCTGCCAGGGCCAATGTCCGGTGGACAAGGCCAGCTAATGCCAGAGTGAGTATGAAGATGTGCCATGGCAGACAGAGCGGTGCAGGAAGGAAGGTGCAGGTAGTGCCCCAGTGCCCTGAGTGACCAAGCAGGGGGCAGCCAACCCTGAGCTGCAGCACGGTGCAGACCCAGCTTACCCGCCTGCATGTATTTCTCCAGCTGTTCCCGTCGTTGCTCTACCTCTGCCGGGGTGAGTGTGAAGATCTTCTTTGGGGGAAAGGCTGGGACAACATTAGCGCCATACTCTTTCCTTAACTGGGAAGAGAGCAGAGTGCCATGAGAGCCTCCAGGGAGATGGTGGCTAGTCTAACCTCCCCCCCCCTCAGCTGATTTCCAGGGCCCTGGCAAGGGGAGTTTTCAAGAACCTAGTCAGGACGTCACAGGGCAGGAGAAAAGGCCTGTACCCAATGCCAAGGAACAGCACAATCACCATCCCAGCCCCATGGGCAGTGCATGCCTGCCTGCAGCCAGCACAGCACCCAATGCTGCGGCTCTCACCCCGGGCCTTCCTGCAGCACCCAACAGCAGCCCACAGGACCCAGCACCCTGCCTGCCAAAAGCACAGCAGGCACCACAGTGCTGCCCACAGGACAGGGGCTGGATGACAGCAGCTCCCACCACCACTGGGGATGGCTCCCTACCTGCTCATGCAGCCCCAGGAGCTGGCTGTAACGCACTCGGCAGTGCAACACCCCATTCACATGGATGTTGTAGGCCTGTGGGGAGAGACACCAGTCAGATGCAGGCACTCCCCAGGTCCACAGGCTACCGCAGGATGAAGACCCTGCAGGGCCCAGCCCAGGAGGAGGTGATGCTCCTGAAGACACCACGAGGGGCAGAGGGGGCACCCCAGCCTTCCCCTCCCGACAGCAGAGCTCAGCCCCCATCCTGGGAAGTGCCAGGAGCCACCTTTTCCCCTCACATGCCATTTCCCAGGCTGGGCACCGCTGCAGGAGCTGGATTTGCCTTGCAGGCACCAGCCCCAGCCCAGAGGCACCAATGCCGGCATCATGCTGCTCACTACCTGAACCCCCTCCAGAGCCTGCCCCAGAGCACACAGCTCAGCAGTGCTTCCTGTGTGGGGCCAGGGCCCTCTGCAGCTCATTGGGGCAGCATCCCAATGGAGGTAGACACATGGAACAAGCAGCCTCAGGCAGGCATAGCCATGACCCCATGCACAGCCAGGACCAGGAGGAGCTGTGTCAGCATCCAAGGGCTAGCAAGCGAGGACAGATCAAACGCCCAGGACTTGCACATAAGAGTACAATACAGCACTGAAAGGTTTCTGTGTGCTGCTCTTCTGAAGACAAGTCAGCGTTGGCACAGACATGCAGCACTGGGGATATGGTCAAAACCACTCAGGAAGTAGAAGCACATCCAAGAGATGTGCCCAGCAGACACCAGGAAGGGGTAATCCTGCAGCTGCCCAGCCACAAGGAGAGTACAGAGCCACATGGACACGGCTGTCCCCCAAGTCAGCAGGCAAGAACACCCCTCCACATTCCCAGCAGCAAGGAGAGGCGGCAGCTCTCCATCCTGCAGGCCCCAAACACGTTTGGAGAAGCGAGCAGAGTAACACAGCAGCCAGCACAGCAACCCAGGCTGCACTCAGGCCAGCAGAGGGGAGCCTGATGGCCAGCTGCAGAGCTGCATGGCCAAGACATCCCCACTGCCAAAGGCTGCAGGTTTGGGCTCACTCCAGCACCTCCCAGGGTGCATGGCCACAGCCATCTCTCACCACAGGGCAAGGGTTTCTTTCCTTGTGTGCTGCCTGCCCACCCTGGGGCCACCGGAACATGCCCCAGCACTTCGGGCTGCTTGAAAGTATAAGAGCTGCTGCAGAAAGCTCAGCAGGACACGTCCCTCAGCCAGGGGGAGAGGACAGAAACCCTCTGTCACTGCAGACAGAGCTGCACAGAGCCCAGTCCCAGGGACATGACTCCATGCCCGAGGTCCCAGGCACTCCACCACAGGCAGTATCCTCCAAGGGGACAATGCTGTTCCCCTCTGTGCCAGAGCAGGTCCTGCCATCCCCAGAATGGTGTTTGGGAGGGCAGGACTGCACCACAGGGGATGGAGATGCTCCTCCAGCCAGCCACTGCAGCCCAGGCATGTACCTCCCATGGCAGTTGCACTCACTGGAAGCCCCAGGCATCCTCCTGCCCCTGACAACTGGGGGCTACTGACAACACAGCAGCTTCTCACACCATCTCTGTGGGGTCACCAGCTCCTGCCCAGACTCAGGGCTGCGAAGGAGCTCTCCTCTGACACTGAGACCACCACCTGAGGGCAAAGTGCACAGTGCTCCTGCGGGCCTTGTACAACCACAGCTGCCTGTGGATCACAAGACAGCTTCACAGCCCTTCCTGCAGCGCACAACCACCCTGTGTGTCCCCGACACACCACCGCCTGCTGCCGAGAGCACCCGGGAGGTCTCCCAGAGAGGGATCGCGGCAAAAGGGGCAGGCGAGGGACCCCCACGTTGACAGCCGCGGGGCCAAAGAGCCCACAGCCGCCCACCCTTACCCCGAGCACGAAGAAGCGGGCCTGGCCCCGGCCCCGGCGGCCGCACCGCCGCGCAGCCCAGGGGGCTCAGCCCGCCGCAGTGTCCCTCCGGTGACCGGGGGACCGACTCCGGAGGAGCTGCCAAGCCGGAGGGCGTTCACGGCGCGCCGAGCAAAACAGGAAGCCGGGACGGACGGACGGGCTGCCGGGCCAGGATGAGCCGGGCCCCGGGACGGGATGTGGCCGCCGCCCGCTGTCCTTCCCCCCGCCCCGCAACGCAGAGGGCTCGGCCTCGTCTCTGCCGGCCCTAGGGAGCCGCGGCGGCGCGGCCGGGAAGCGGAATACCGGCTGGGGATGGCGGCCCCGGCCCGCACAAGGCCACCCGGCACCGGCGTCGGGACTACTGGCCCGCACAGCCCCACCGGGCAGCGACCGCTCCGTAACGTCGGACTCAGACCCGGCCCTACCGGCCCGGGGGTCTCCGCCCCGCACCCGCGGGACAGCTCCGCGCCGGCCCCGCTCACCACGTAGGCGGCGCCGCCGTCGCCGGCGCGGGTCTCGGTCTCGGGGATGGAGAAGTGCATGGCGGGGCCGGGACGGGCCGGGTCGCGCGCCCCCGCTACCTGCCGCGAGCCGCCATGTCGGAGCCCGGCGCTCCCGGGTACCGCCCCGCGGGGCGCCCCGCTCCTTCTCGCTCCGCCCCGCAGGAGCTCAGGGACAGCCCCGCGCCTGCTGCCGGCAGCGTCCCAGCGACCCCGTGCTGCGGCTCTGCCCCGGTGCTGGCCGCGGCGGAGGGGAGCGCCCCGGTAGAGGTACCAGCCCCCACAGCGCCTACAGCGTGGCGTCACGGCGCGTCATGCGGGGGCCGCTGACGTCACGGCAGGTCCCGCCGGCAGGGAGCGCTGCTGAGCGGCGGAGCAGGCGTCATGGCGGAGCGGGCGGCGCGGGCCGGTGAGTACGGGATGGGATCGGACCGGAGCCGGGGGGCGGCGGGACCGCGGCACTGGCACCAGCCCGGCCCCGCTCACCCTTCTTCTTCCAGGTGCGGGCCCCGAAGCAGCCGCGCCGGAGGGACCGCAGGTGAGCAGGGCCGGGACCGGCGTGGTGCTGGGAGCCGCGCCGGGGAGGGCGTGGGGGACGCGGGCTGCCTGACCGTCTGCGCCCGCAGGCCACGGAACTCTCCCGGGAGGAGAAGCTGCAGCTGCGGAAGGAGAAGAAACAGCAGAAGAAAAAGAAAAGGAGTGAGAAGGGGCCGTTGGCTGAGACCCCGGAGCTGGGGGTGCTCTCCGAGGCAGGGCAGCCGCAGGGTGAGGACCCCCTTTTTCCCCGGCAGCCCTCCCCACCCCCCGAACGGGGGCAGCCCTGTGCAAGGCCCCGGTGGGCTCCGGGGCTTGGGACCCTTGTGCTGGAACAGCCTGAGGCAGGAGCGTCCTCCAGTCATGGGAGGCTGCAGCAGGACCTCGCTACCTCGAGTGCCTGCGTGTTTGCAGGGACTGAGATGCAGAGAGGACAGGCCCCTGCCTTCCTGAATATGGGGCTGGTCTGATGGTCCCATGTCAGCTGCACAGGGGTTGTGGCAAGGTGCTGGACAACGTGGGATGTATTCCCATCTGTTCCTCCAAACACAGAGCCTTGCGCAAAGGAGGATCTTCTTGCCACAGGCTGCCCCATGTTTTTGGGCTGTATCTCATGGTGATTGAGGCTGGGCACTGACTTCCTTCCCTCTTCCATCTCCTGCAGTAGCTGCTCATCTCACATCCCCCCCAGCCTTGGCTGATGGCCCCAATGATGGTGAGAAGCCTGCAGGGGGCAAAAGCAAAGCTGAGCTGCGGGCAGAGCGCCGGGCCAAGCAGGAGGCTGAGCGGGCCCAGAAGCAGGCCAGGAAAGCGGAGCTGAGCCAGGCAGCCACAGCAGCCAAGCCCAGGCTGACTCCGACCGAGCCCCAGTCTGGTAAAGCCATTGTCAACATAGGGTGGGTTAGCAGGGAGGGAGTTGCCTGCGGTGGGAAACTAACCCTTCCACAGTGCCATGGGCACTGCCACCCTGTGTATTCCCTGAGTCTTGGGGCAGTGTGACTGGACTGGGGGCTGCACCAGGCTGGCATCACCTCACACTACCCTCCCTGCTACCCTCACAGTGGTAAAGCGGCTGCCGGAACACGTGCAGATGGATGATCCCGCTGCCCAGAGGAAACTGGCCAAGAAGCTGGAGCGGCAGCAGGTAGGAGGAGGGCCGGGTAACAAGCTGTGTGCTTCAGGGCAGTCATGCTGCAGTTGTGTGTGGTGGGGGCCAGGCTGTGTGTGTGATGGGACAGGTGTCTGTTATCTGCGGGGCAAAGGGGACCTCTGGTGTGCTGTGAGTGCTGGGTATGATCGGTGGTGCTGGAGCAAGCAGGGCTGTGTGGCAGCTTTAGCTAAGTCATCATCAATGCTGTTTGGCTGCAGGTACCTCTGAGGCAGGACTATGGCACCAAGGTCAACCTGTTCTCCCACTTGCACCAGTACAGCCGGAAGAAGCCACTGACACAGCAGATGAGGTACGTGGCCTCCCCAGCCCAAGCCTTTGGCAAGCATTTGGCTCTGTTTTGGTTGTGTCCGCAAAATGGCTGTAGTGAAGGAGTATCATGGCCTTGTGTGTGGAATAGGCTTGATGGGGTGGTGGAGGATACTTTTTGCTTTGTTTGAGGAGCAGTGGCTGGGGCAGCCAGATGTCATACCTGTGGGGTGAGGAGAGCTGCCCTCAAGCAGTGCATGGCCACAGGAGAGGGTGCTGTGGGCTTAGCCTGACTCCTCCTTAGAGCAAAGAGGGGCTGTCCTGGGCCACCCTTCAGGTTGTTTGGCTGGAGGCCTGGCACTGGGTTGGCTGTTCCTGGGCTGTAGAGGGCCCTGCTGATAGCTCTCTTGTATTTATCCTTGCAGCATCCCCTCCACTGTAATTCACCCAGCTGTGGTACGCCTTGGCCTCCAATACTCCCAGGGCATCATCAATGGCTCCAATGCCCGTTGCATCGCCCTGCTGGAAGTCTTCAAACAGGTATGTGAGCAGCTACCTGTGCCCACCAAGCAGTGGGGTGCTGCACCATGCACAGGCATCTCTTCCTATTCCCTGGCTTTTGAGACTGTATCTGTGCTCGGTCATCTTCAGCCTCCTCCTTCTGACTGTTTCCAGGGCTGGGCCCTGCTGGTGTCCCATTCTGGTGCTACCACTGCAAATTTGAGTTCCTGGAACACCCCTTTATCCCGCTGTGAAAGTGTGTCAAGCTGTGCAGTACATATTCCTGGCTGGTCTGCAGCCTTTTGTGTGAGGGTGGTCGCATGCGCTGCCTAGCCAGAAGGGGCAGGTGCCCTGAGCTCATGCTCTCTTCCTTCTTGTCTTAGCTGATCCGAGATTACTCAACTCCCCCCAGTGAGGAGCTGTCAAGGGACCTAGTGGCCAAGCTGAAGCCACACATCAGGTGAGGGCTCCTGGTGCTGGAGCAGAGGGACTGAGGCTGCACTGAGTGTCATCTATCGATCACCTCTCTGGCTTGGTGTCCACCCAAGCTTGGTCTGACTTTACTGGGGCTCTGAGTCCTACCTCCTAGCCCACTATCCCCAGCCCAGCTGCACCCTCCATCTTGCTGTCCTGTTCTCCAGGCTGCTCTGGAGCTAAGCATATTTCCTCTCTGCAGCTTCCTGAACCAGTGTCGGCCCCTTTCAGCCAGCATGGGCAATGCCATTAAGTTCCTTAAGAAGGAGATTTCATGCCTGCCCGACACCCTGCGAGAGGAAGAGGTGAGTGGCCTCATGTGCACAGCAGACACCAGGGTGGTGTCTTACTGGCAGCATCAGTAAAGTCACAGGTGAAGAAGAATGTGGTTTTTCAGTGTTCAGCTATGTCCCGTGCAAAAAGCTCCCCAGGAGCCTGCTGGCTGTGGAGCAAGGGGCAGAGGGGTGGTGAACATCATGAGAACCCCTGAGGCTGCGTGGCTGGTGGGCTAAGAGGAGTCAAGCTGGAGAGTCTGAGTAGTAAAATCTCCATGGGGTGACCAGAGCAGTTGACCAGGAGGTGCAAGGGCAGAGCTGGGGAGGGCCTGATGGCAGCTGAAAGACATGGTGAGGCACCATGGTCTTCTGGGAGCTTGTGCTGGGTCAGGAGTGGCCCCATGTGTCTTGCAGATCCCCTGTCCCAGGGGAAGGTGCCATTCAGCATACAGTCTGACTGGGAGCAGGGCAGAGCTGAGCCTACAGCCATACCAGGCTGCAAGGGACAACAGTGTTCATGGTGTGGGAAGGCCGTGCTGTATGTGATGGCACTGTCTCCCCAGGCAAAGGAGAAGCTGCAGGACACTATTGACAAATATCTGCGGGAGAAGATTCTTCTGGCAGCTGAAGCCATTTCAAGGTCTGCCTTTGAGAAGATAAATGACAACGATGTGATCCTGGTGTATGGATGGTAAGAGGAGAGCTAGGACAGCCAGGCCAGCGGGTGGGAAAAGAAAAAACCTGAATGAACATGGGAAGCTCTTGCAAAAGCAGTGTTTAAAGTTTGGAAAAGTTGGTGTTTCCCAGGGCCGAGAGAGGGGTTATGGCTCTGTGTTCAGCAACCAGAAATGAAACAAGCAGTGAGTGGGCCGTGAGAGGCTGTACAAAGGTGTCGGGACGGAGCGGAGCATGGCCTGGGGTCAGCACTTGCTCACTGGATGAGAATGTGGTGTTAGTGCTTTAGAAAAAGCAGAGAGCTCATTGGGACTGTCCTGAGAGACAGGCAGGCTGATGAGCTCATGTCACGAGGTGATGACAGAGCACTTTCTGCCTGGCAGCTGCCAAGGGGAATGCTAAACGATGTCTGTGGGGTGCAGTGGACTGTGTTGGCAGGGCTGGCTGCGAGCAGGCATCCCTGGAGGGCCCCGCTGTGGAGGGTTGTGTCCTGCTCATGTGGTTCACAATTTCTCTGTATGCTGGGGCAACTTGGATGCTGGAAGCACTGGAACCCTTGGACCCGTTCAGGGAATGAACAGGAGAGTCTGATCAAGTAGACTTACACCAGCCTATACTGATTAATGTAGTTGCGTTAGCGCCTCAGACGTGGTTTGTGAATGCCTGAGTTTGCCCCACCTGCTCTTGCAACTTACACAGGCCCACCAGCCTGTGGCGTTACAGTGGCGGGTGACAACTTGACTGGGCTGAGAAGTGCCTGAAGAGGCTTAAAGCCATCACTGTCAGCAAAGCCTGTACCAAAGGCTTGTCTGAGTCTCTGCTGTTCAGAGCTCAGCGCTGTTCAGAGCTCAGCACTGTCCTCTGTTTGCATGTGTCCAGTGTTGAGTGTTTTAAGAAACCCAGATTCACCACTTTTTCAATACAGGGCACCTACAGAGCAGTTGTGCACGGTAACTGGCATTTTAAACAGACTGTAGCAGTGTCAGATGTCAGGAAGCAGAAATAAGGAAGCTCATTCTTCCTTTGAGGGACTGTGTTCCAGAAGGTAGTGGTGGGAAAAGGAGACTGAGACCACTGTGGCAAAAGAGCCCAGGTGTGATGTGCCTCCTGTCAGATCATCAAGGAAGGAGCAGGAGGTCAGCCTGGGCCTGGAGCATTCTGAGAGAACTTGGAGAGGGTTTGGAGGGGAGAGTCCCCCACTGTGCTCACAGACAGGCAGAGGTCAGTGCTGCTTCCAGGGAGGGCTGAGACTTAACTTTTCCCACTGCAAAGGCAGGGAGGAGGGTCTTGGAAGCAAGTGTAACAGGAGAGTGTCTGGAAGGGGCAGCACTTACAATGGTGAGTGTGGACACGAGCTCTGCTTGGTCTCGTCTCCAGACAGCATTAGTCCATCAGTGTCTAGGAAGGAGCCTGAGTCCTCCCCTGGATAAGGGAGACATTGGTCTGCTTGGTCTGGATGTGCCCAGGGAGCTGCTGAGGCAGCTGGTGCCTGGTAGTGCCTGCTCTGCTGCAGCTGCTGGCAGCCAGCCCCTGCTTTGGGTGCCTGTCAGGACTGTCCCCTTGGCAAGACCCCAGACTGACACTCAGGAAACTCCTGCTCAGCCAGCACCTGATGAGTCCCACACTGGAGCCAGCACCAAGGAAAGTCTCTTGGCATGGGGCTGCACTTGCGGGCAGTGCTGTCAGCATGGAGTGTCTGCATGGGCCGGGTGAGAGCTTTCTAACTGGTGTCCATCAGCTCTTCCCTCGTGAACCGCACACTGTGCGACGCCCATGTGAAGAAGGGCCGAGCCTTCCGCGTGATCGTTGTGGACAGCCGTCCGCGGCTGGAAGGCCGGGAGACACTGCGGCGGCTGGTGCGTAAGGGCATTCACTGCACCTATGTGATGATCAACGCCATCTCCTATGTGCTGCCCGAGGTGAGGAGCAGAGTGGGGCTGTGCTGAGGGCAGTGGTGGGTTCAAGGGAGGCTGGAGGGTGATGAAAGGTGCCAAGAGATCCCTGTGCTTCCCTGACAGGTATCTAAAGTGCTGCTGGGAGCCCATGCACTCCTGGCCAACGGCTCCGTCATGTCCCGAGTGGGGACATCCCAGATAGCACTGGTCTCCAAGGCTTACAACGTGCCCGTCCTCGTGTGCTGCGAGACCTACAAGTTCTGTGAGCGAGTGCAGACGGACTCTTTTGTCTCCAATGAGCTCGGTATGGCTTCTGTCTGCTTCCTGCCACCTGAGACCTGTGCCCGCTGCTGACCAGGATGGGCTGCTCTGCTCTGCCCTGCCCTTCCAGGCCAGGAGCCACCTCTCAGAAGAAGGGTGGCCTGGCAGGCAGCAGTGGTGTGTGCTCCCAGGGCAGAATGGAAAGGTGCTGTCCCTGATCCTGCTGCCTGTTCTCTCCACAGATGACCCTGATGATCTGATCGTGCTTAGGAAGGGCCAGGCCCAGCTGGGTGGCTGGGCAGAGAACAAGTCCCTGCGCCTTCTCAACCTCGTCTATGATGTGACGCCACCTGACCTGGTGGATCTGGTCATCACAGACTTGGGCATGATCCCCTGCACTTCGGTGCCTGTTGTCCTGCGGGTCAAGAACGTGGATCAGTAGTAGGGGCAGCAGCACGGACACTAATAAACCAGGCCCCACAATACCGCTTGTCTGTTTTCTGTGGGGTGGCAGGAGCCCTGATGACCAATGTCACCACAGGCTCAGCTCTGCGTGATCCTTGGGGATGCTGGCACTTCTGCCCAGCCTGTTCCTGTTGCTCCAGGCTGCACTAGCAAAGGATCTTCCCTGTCCCGGGGCCCCTCCTCTGGGACATGGGAGAAACAGTGACATGGTGACAGTCCCTAGCTCACATCACTGGCTGTCGTTCTGGTATCCACCCGAGATGGGCTTGTGCAGGAGAGCCTAGAGCTGGGTACGTTTGACCCTGCAGCCCCCTGAGGGGGTCAGAGCTACTCCTGGTGCAGGATCCAGCCTGAGCAAAAGCTGGGGGTTCTGGCACAGGGAGGGGGATCTCCTGCCTTGTTCGGAAGCATTCCCATCCATTTCTGGTACGGTAAAGTTGTTGCTCATCTCAGCTCCTGTTGGAGATTGCTGTGGGCTCGGTGTGCTTATCCTAGAGACTGTCGGTACCAGTGCATGTTTCTAGCCCTTCTGGGGTTCCTGTGAGTCTGCCCTGTGCAGAAGAAGAGGTGATTTATACTCCGCTGTCACGTGTCTGCTGCCAAATGCTGTGGTCCACGGGAACCGAGGCCGGGGTGGAGACAGCGGAAGCCGGGGGATGGCGCTGAGGGGAGATGGGACGGGACCGGAGCCGCGGGGTGGGGCCTGTGAGTGAGGGCGTGTCCATGCAAATGAGCACCGCGAGGCATCACGGGACACCCGTGACACAAAACCACCCCCGTGGGCTCGGGCGCACGAGGGCGGCAGAAAGAGGCGTGCGGGAGAGCGCGGCGGAGCTGGGTCCGTGCTGGTAGCGTTCCGGTAGCGCCGCGTGCGGTGTCCGTGAGGTGTGTGTGTGTTGTGCGGCGGGTGGCGGTGGGTGCGCGGAGGGCAGTCATACTTACCTGGCAGGGGAGACACCATGATCAAGCAGGTGGTTTTCCCAGGGCGAGGCTCATCCCTTGCACTCCGGGTGTGCTGACCCCTGCGATTTCCCCAAATGCGGGAAACTCGACTGCATAATTTGTGGTAGTGGGGGACTGCGTTCGCGCTCTCCCCTGACTTTACGTGGTTTAAAAAGTAGAAGTGGTGCCGAGCATTATAGGAAGCTTCTTACTATAGTTGTCAGATGCGCTGATGTGTTCGACAGGCTCACAGGGCGCATCAGTTGATAAAGAGCATAGGTCTGTCTGTTAGTCGGTCAGTTTTGAGACCTCGATGGGCTGTAGCCATTGGTGTGAGGTTCAACAAGGCAAAGTGCCGGGTTCTGTATCTGGGCCACAAGAGCCTCTCCAACGCTACAAGCTTGGGGAAGAGTGAGTAGAAATCTACTCGGTGGAAAGGGACCTGGGGGTGCTGAACATGAGCAGCTTGTGCCCAGGCAGCCAAGAAGTCCAACGGCATCCTGGCCTGTATCAGCAAGAGTGTGGCAGCAGGGCCAGGGCAGTGATCGTCCCCCTGTACTCGGCACTGGTGAGGCCGCACCTGTAATCCTTGGTTCAGTGCTGGGCCCCGCAGCACTGGTACCCACGGAGCCGTTGTCCCGCTGAGGCCCCGCAAGCCAGGGAGGGCTCCGGTCCCCTCGGCCCCATTCTCATGTCGGCGGTAACCGCGCGGCCCCGGCCCACGGGGCAAAGGGATCATTGCAGTGTCCGGCCCGTCGCAAAATGCCCTGCTCAGAACAGTCCCAAGCGCGCAAACGCTACTTGTCGTACACAAACAGCAGCTCCTACTGCAGCTTTCTGTACGCTGCTTTGGCGTTCATTCGCATATCTATCTTTAAACCGCTTAAATCAGGGGAGAGCGCGAACGCAGTCCCCCACTACCACAAATTATGCAGTCGAGTTTCCCGCATTTGGGGAAATCGCAGGGGTCAGCACACCCGGAGTGCAAGGGATGAGCCTCGCCCTGGGAAAACCACCTGCTTGATCATGGTGTCTCCCCTGCCAGGTAAGTATGACTGCCCTTCGCGCACCCACCGCCACCCGCCGCACAACACACACACACCTCACGGACACCGCACGCGGCGCTATCGGAACGCTACCGGCACGGGCCCGGCTCCGCCGCGCTCTCCCGCACCCCTCTTCCTGCCGCCCTCGTGCGCCCGAGCCCACGGGGGTGGTTTTGTGTCACGGGTGTCCCGTGATGCCTCGCGGTGCTCGTTTGCATGGACACGCCCTCACAGGCCCCACTCCTCGGCTCCGGTCCCGTCCCGTCCCCCCTCAGCGGGCGCCCTCACATCCATTCCCCGGCCTCGTTCCCGCCCCTCGCCACCGATAACGAGCCCGACCAGACCCGGTGCTGTCTCACGCCGGTTCTTATCCGCCCGCCCGTGCCCGGAGCTGCTCCCACCCCTTTGTCCCCAGATGTTACGAGCCATGGTTCACGTTTGCCCCCAGTTTCCCTCATGGCCGTTTCTGGGCTCTGGCCTTGCTCCACGAGAGCCGCGTGTGCCACTGTCACACACCAGCAGCCCTCCAGCAGCCAGCATGTCCCAGAGCAGCTCTGCTCTCCCGTGCTGACGGTCTTCTCCCTGTGGCCGTGGGCTGGAGCGGCATCAGCAGCACCCACCGGCTCCTACGGCCATTGCGAGTCCCACCTCCATGCCCAGGCATGTGGGGGTTGGAATGTATCGAAACTGTCAGAGACCACGGAAAGGGGGAACTACAGCAGGCAATTAGGAGTGACCCGTCCCTCACTGGTACTTGGAAGATGTTGGAACTGGCAAGGAACAAGGACGTCGGAAGAAAATCAGATAGACTTTTCACCTGATGTAACTACAAGGCAAACACAGATGTGCTTGGCTAATTGCTTGGAAGCATATAAATATCGTGTAATCTTTGCAATAAATGATCCAGCTTGCACTCTACCTCTGGGTCCTTGCCTCTACTCACAGGGGCACCAGGCCAGGAATCAGGGGGGTCTGTGTGTGCTGAGGGATTGCCAGGACTTGAAGGGTGACAGCCTGGAGCACTGGAGCTGTGGTGGGGCTGGGGTCCTGCAAGCACGGCAATTCCCAGCCACTCACCTTCCCCAGGAAATGTTCCCTGGTGCTGTCATGGCACTCTGTGCCCGTGGTTTGGCTCTTCCGTGGGTGCCTGCTCTTGCCATGCTGCTGTCAGCTTCCAGATCCCATGCCTCTGGCACCGGGGGTCACAGGCTGTGAACGCTTTTGCCTGTCTGCCCTGTACGTGCTGTGATGTTGGCCTTTCGACCAGAACCCGTTCCAGCGCCACCCAGAGGGGGCTGCCCAGCCACCAGAACCCAGCCCGACGTCTGGGGCCCCGGCTTTCTGCTCTGGCTGGGTGTGGGGAGTGAAGGCGGTAAGATCTCCATGAAAAACAGTTTGGGAACGAGCTCTGAGGCCTTAATGCTTGACAAGCCCTGGGGCGATGAGGTGGGGTGTTGAAGGACAGGGAAGGTCGCAGAGCAAGCCTTGGGCGGATGGGCCCGGATGTTGTTGTGGCGGGAGTCTCACTTGGAGCCAGACGGTGTGGGCGTTGCGAGAGCGTCTGAGACGGCGGGGTCGTCTGGACAACGTGTGCTGCAACACTGTTACTGGACTGTCTACCGGGAGAGATTTACAGGGGCCAGTGAGATGGAGCGTGGCATGTTTGTGCACGTTGGGAAAGCGCCGAACAAGGGGATAAAAAGGGCTTGACTGGATTAAAGTTGGATGTGAGTCTCCATTGGCAATTGAGTCTCCTCCTCGAGTCCACGTCGTGATACGCCCCAGCTGGGGGACGCGGATCCCTCTTTGCCCCCTGCAGGATCAGCCCACAACGGAGCTGAGCTCATGTCCCCGAGCCCCGCTGGGCGCATCTCCCCTGACACAAACACCCCGGCTCCAGCCCGGTCCCGCTCGGCTCTGACAGACCGAGCCCTCGCCGGGCGGTCCCTGTCTCGGTGCCGATAGCGGTTCCGGTGCGGGCGGGCAGAGGGACCGACAAGTCCGCGGTGAGAGCGGGGCGGGGCCTGCAGGCAGGGGGCGTGTCCATGCAAACGAGCACCGCGAGGCATCACGGGACACCCGTGACACACTCACCCCCGTGAGCTCGGCGCCCCCGGGCGCGCGACGGCGGCAGGAAGAGGGGTGCGGGAGCGCGCGTGCCTGTGCGGGGCGCGTTCCGGTAGCGCCGCGTGCGGTGTCCGTGAGGTGTGTGTGTGTTGTGCGGCGGGTGGCGGTGGGTGCGCGAAGGGCAGTCATACTTACCTGGCAGGGGAGACACCATGATCAAGCAGGTGGTTTTCCCAGGGCGAGGCTCATCCCTTGCACTCCGGGTGTGCTGACCCCTGCGATTTCCCCAAATGCGGGAAACTCGACTGCATAATTTGTGGTAGTGGGGGACTGCGTTCGCGCTCTCCCCTGATTTAAGCGGTTCAAGAACAGTTCCTCATCACTTTGTCGGTTATTTCCCCGCTCCGCTCAGCAGTTTTTCATCGTGGTGTTTTTGGCTCCGTTCGCTATTTTATGGCACGCAGCGCCGCGCGCTTTCTGCGCCCGATGAGGTCGCGCTCGTGCCAGGCCGCTGTCCGGCTCCCGCGTCCCGAGGCCGGTCTCCACCGCTGCTCCGCGATCCTGCCCTGACTCGCTGCACGCAGCGCGCCCGCTCCTCGCTGCCCCGCCGCGGGGCCCGGGAACCAGGTGCTGCCGCCGTCCCCCGCCTGCCGCCCCGCCCCGCTCCTCCGCGGGGAATGGCCTGGCCCGGCCCCGCCCCGGATCCTCCCGCTGCCGCTGCTGCCGCCGCGGTGCACGCGCTTCGCTCGGTCGCCGCCGCGGAGCCGCTGGAGCGCACGTGGCGCTGCCATGGGCTGCCTGGTGCTGCAGGACGGGACGGTGCTGCGCGGCCGCCCCTTCGGGGCCGTCGGGGCCATCGCCGATGGGGAAGTCGGTGAGTGCGGCCAGGGGCGGGGCCGGACCGGGATCAGGTCCGGGACGGCGGCGGATGTTGGGGGCGGCCCGAGCCCGGCGAGCGGGAGAGG